GACCAACGCGGGGCCGGGTATCAGACCACCAGGGGCCGGCAAGTCTCGGTCGGACAAAAGGACTGTCGTGCCCAGATGCATGAGCTGAGCAAAGACTGCGGGTAGACCGATTGCCTCTGGCTCGAAGATCGCCAGACCGTCGGTCGTCTGGTCGGTATCGGATGCGCAGACGGCAAGGCTTGAATCGTCAGGACCTTCTGAAGTGGTTGTCTCTTTTTCCCTCGTCGGAGTAGCATTCGCCTGTCGACAGCGCATCGACGCCTTTTGAAGGGACTGGTTTACAGCTTCAAGTAGTTTGGATGTTAATATTAGACGCTGAGCGTATATGCCTACGTTTATTTCATCCAGATTGCTGATGCAGGAGGGATGAATGATAAAAGAATTTAGCATTACAAACCTACTTATGAGTAATATTGTCAAGTCGCCGAAAAACCCTTGCCAAAAGCCTACTCACCATAGCTTACGTTTTGTCATCTCACGTTGACGTGACTATAAACCTCACTCTTGAAGGAAATCTAGTGTTTAATGTAGGCAAGATGCATTTAATAATTAATGATAAAAAATTGTATGCTTTAGGTTTGTTTAACTGCCTTTTAAATAACTATGCAATCCGTCAAGGGGATTATCCTATGTTCTAAGTTTGTCTATACCTAAACTGATGCGAAGAAGTGGTTGTGAACAGCAAAACTGAGGAGCTTTTGAGATTCTCGAGGAGCGCATCTTGACCGCACCTTGCTGGAGAATTCATGACAATGTCCACTCGCATATGGGGGACTTTGTACATTCCCCAAAACCGAGTAAAATCTGTATACTAGCGAGATAAGCAAGACACAGTAGCTTCGGTTATGAGGTGAACGAAATAGTTTGCTTACGGAAGATCCAAGTTGGATCAGCAAGAGGGGAATTCAAGTAAAACTGAGGGAGGTGGGACAACGTCTCACCTATCCCGCCCACAAGGACACACCTCGACACTAGTCTAGCGTAAACAAGTTGGACATTTGCGTGTGTATGATATCACAATTATTCGGTAGAAGGTTGGTCAAGACATGG